GACCGAAAACAATGTTTATGTTTTTTGGTACTCGAGAACTTCCTTTAGAATATTTTTGTATTGTGAATAGTGTAATGTTGGGTAATTTTTATTTACAGTCTTTTAATTAGTTTTAAATGAAAATAATATAGCAAATTATAATAAATCTTCAATTATTATATCTTCAAAAAATAAAAATATATATATATATATATAAATATTTTATGTATTGATTTACGTTACAAGACCTATTGCCCAAATTAAAAATCAAGTATAAAAAAAAATAATATTGTTAGACCAGAAAAATAAAATAAATATCTTTCTTACAAATTCAGAAAAATTACGAATATAATAAAAATTGATCGCATTTCAAAGGTCATAACTTTGGTTAAAAACATTTTTATAGACCTCAGAACCTATGTTTCAATTCAGTAGGATACAGGGATGAAAAAAAATGTGAGTTTTCTAAATTTTAAAATAGTCAATTAAGACCGCCTAACGTTCACTATCAGACCACTGAGGGCTGTCATCTCAGTGTTTATTTTTTAATATTTCCACCATGTTTTTGTGATAATACTTCCAACTGCCGAACACTCAGTAAATTTGCACTGATTCGTGTCATTGACATAAAACATTTTAATTACATATCTTAAATTGAACACAATACTAATATATTATGTGGTGCTACCTACTAAGTTCAACTAGTAAATGGTCTGTAAGTATAATAAGATTGATTTTAATATTTATGCATTTTATTTTGACATAACCGTAGATTGCGGCCTACTGTGCTGTAGAATAGTAGAACAGTGGCCCAGTCCGGCCCTGCCCCTCTTTACCATATATTTTTTTTTAATATTTAATTTTTTTTTGTGTCTGTGTACACGATATAAGTAGTCGAAATAATGATCGATTTTCAACTTCAGTATCTTGTTCGATTGGAAAGTGAATATCGTTGGTACATTGGGGAAGTCAAAATTTAAAATTCCCAGTAATTTTCAAAAGCGCCAAGAAAAACAAAAGAAAAATTAAGGAAAAATGGTAATTTTTGCGCAAAATTGAATTTGGTAGATACATGCAATTTTGACTGAATGTTTACATTAGCATTTTCTATACACGATAAAATTTTCAAAATATTATGATTTATTTTGAACTGGTTAGGGACATTTTCAGTTTCCAATTTTATTAGTTTTTTTTTTTTTGAATATCATTAAAAATGTATTTGTCGAGTAAAAATACTCGGAAATTTAATACAAGGCTCCTACTATATTGTTACATTGACATTTGAATAATATTAAAAATCCTTAGTCACAATTTTTTTTATAAGCATATTTTAAAGCTCAAATCTTGACAGAATATGAAAAAATAAAGAAAATTATCAAATTATTTTGAGTTAAGAATTCATAAAAATTTTTCTTATACAAAATTCCTTATAAGATTATCTACCTTTATCAAAAAAACAATTTCTATAAGAAAGTCAAATTAAATTTTTATGAGCGTTTGAAATTCAAATTTTTACAACATTGGATATTCACTGATGTAGCGATTTTCTTATTTTGTTGTGATTCAAAAACGAATAACTATAGATACATTAAAATTTCACTGAATGTTTATTTTATCGATTCATATACTTGATAAAATTTTCAAAATATTTTGACTCTTTTTGAGCTGTTTACGGACAATTTCATATTTCAATTTTTTTATTTTTTTTTTCTATGAATATCAATAAAGTTTTATCTATTGGGCCAAAAAGTGTAAAAATACAAGTTTAATACAAGGCTCCTGATATATTGTTACAATAGCAGTTGAAAAATATTAAAAAGGCACAAATTTTTTTTATAAGCATTTAAAGATCGAATTTTGACAAAATTTATCAAATTTAAAATTGAATAATTATTTTGTAGTTAAAAATGTATAAAATGTTCAACTTTTATATCTAAGGATTGAAAATTTAAAACAAGATTCCACGTAAGTAGTTAATTCCGTTACCAAAAAATCTAAAAAATACATAAGCACAGTTTATTTTCATAATCATTTTAAGTTCAAATTTGGACAAAATTATATATTAAAAAACCCAGAATAACTATTTTAGTTATTTTGTTGTCATCGTATAATATTAATCGTGGGTACTTGAAACTTCTAAAGTATTCTATTATAATATATCTAAGATAGTATCAGGGTTTGTTGTTGATGTATAACGCGTTATAAGTACCTAATGAGCTATCATAGTCATAGCTAATAAAAAAAAAAAAGTACCTAATGGATATTGTGATATGATTAATTTGGAATTTATTATAGGTACCTTATATAGGTCAATTTTTTTTAATACCATAGATAAGTTTATAATATGTCTATATCTAGACTGACATACCGTCTCCACTCAGAATCGTTTTTCTTATACAATGATATTATATCATTGAATTCAAATTTAATACCATCATTATACAGTGACCCACTTGTAACCTACTGTACAGCAGAGCACCTTTTTCATAATATAGTTTCTGTGGTAGAGATTTAATTTTAGTATAATGCTTTACTTTTTTGCTCCACAGAATCGATTAAATGGTCTGGCTATATTGGCTGTTCATAAAAATGTCAAAAGCGACCCTGAAGAAGTGCTTACCTAATGAATTAGCATTAATACCACGTAGAGTGGATATTTTATTGTGATTTGTGATGTAACTGTATCTAATATCTAGGACCTAGGTATCAATAAAGTTAATGTACCTAAATGTGAATATCTAAATATTATGTTATTATTTATTTTAATGTATAGTGTATACAATATTACCTACAGATCATAATGGTTGTATACTTGTATTGAGAGGTGCTTATTGCTTACCTATATGATTAAAAAAAAAGAGTTGAGGGAGGGAGAGGGTAATGGCCAATTGGTAAAATGTACATACATTTCACCCCCCCCTCATACGACCATGACCAAATTACACCACTGAAAGACCTAAATACAGTACGTTGTATGTCAGTATCTATATAATATATAATACATTTATAATTTTGTGCATAGAATTCATCTCCACTTACCCATTAACAAACACAAGAGATTATCAAATGTGTTTCATATTATTATACAATTAAGTTTGGTTTTAGTTAGCCATCATTATTTTAAATATTTTTACAATTATAATTTTTTAATATATTCGAACTGGAAGAAAATTTCTAGAACATGAATTTATGTAAGAAAATAAATTAAATATGTTACTATCTGGTTTTAAATTATTTTAAGTATCTACAATTCACAATGCTTCACTTTTAAAGCAGCATTAAACATATACTGATAGCTATAATTATAATTTATATTAGGAATATGTAAGCACACTATTTCTTTTCTTTTTCTGAATGATGCGCAATACAGCGAATTTGCGTTCAACAGAAGTGACCAATTATTAAACTTAAAGTGAAGAACGTTATATGTGTTTGAAAGTTGCATTATTACGATATTTCAAATTTTATGCAAGTTATGAGTGTATAAAAAGTGATAAAATCTCCCTTCAAAATTTTATTGTTGTGAAAAAACCAACATACAAACACAATGGTAATGTTCTTGAATCTTAACTTTAAAATTTTGTTTTAGATATAAATTCACTCTTATACTAAAGCCACAAAGTTGGTTATGCTGAACGCAAATTTTCTATGTTGAGCATGGCTCAGAAAAAGTATGGAAATAGTGAGCTGATATCCTCTTAATAATAAATCAGATTAGTTGGCCGTGACTCCCCATTCTTGGAACTGGTGTTTATGCTATGAACAAAATTGTACAGTGCCAACTGCAGGCCCAACAATAAATGGAGACTAATGCATTGTTTTTCCTATGTAATAGGTACTAATATTTATAAATAAAACTAAAAAACTAATCAAATTATGAATGCAATCATTTTTGAAGTGGACGATACACGGCCAATTGTTGTCTCTGGCTTATAAGTGCGTAACATAGCAAATTTACACTCAGCATATCACGTTTAGCTTCGTTAGCGTAAATTAAATACTCATAACTCTTTAAAAACCAAATAATCGTAAAAAACCCACATACAATCTCAAATAATAATATTCTTTTCATCAAATTTCATAATTTCACTCTAACTTTTAAACTAAAGAAGCTAAACGTGATCTGCTGAGTGTAAATTTGTTATGTTACGCATTTGTTGGACGGAGACAACAAATGTCTGTGTAGAGTCCTATTAAGTTAATTAATTATGATATTTATTTTTTTGCTACTAATTTTCATGCAGATTGGACAATTAAATTTGACATTCAATTATTGCCATTTTCTAACAAAGTAAGATTCATTAGACATTAGTCATATTTATGAATATGATTGCCAAATATTATTTAGACTTCAGTGAAGCCATTATTGTTGTTGTAAGTATAGACATCGTTATGCTGCTCTCATAGGTTTTACAGATTCTCATATTTTATTACAAATTTTGAACTCCATGAAGTGTCCATAATTATATACTACATAATATTATACCAAATCTAAATCATTAAGTTATTACCATAGGCTATTTTTCTGGAAAAAATGTGGTTCTTAAATAAAGCTTTAAAAATGTATAATGTATTATAATAATATTATGTTACAATCAGTGAAACATATAATTTGTATTTGTCATTTTTAATAACATTTTATATTACAAAATAAAATTAAAATAAAAACAAATACGTTTTCGTATTCGTTAAACAATAATTAATAACGATTCAGTATAAATACATTCACAGTCACACAATTATGAGTACACATAGGAACGCATTTTCCATTTGAAAAAAAATTATAATAATAAGGTCAACATAACCCATTTGCACATGGTATAAGTACCTATAAGGTAATCAAATTTTAAATATTTACCTACTTTTTGAATATTTGTAAAGGTTAATCAAATAATGATTAATGTTGGTGAGCAAGACAATTGTTTCATCTCTAAAAGAAACAGAATAAATATTATGTAGACTATGTATCGCTGTATTGGAATGTGAACCGTTTGTTTTACCTATGAAGTTGTTTCTAAATCTTAACAATGTTGAATTGATTCAATATCATCTGGTTCACAGCAATTTCTATCGAAGCACTCGACGTTATTGCATTGAACCAAACACTGTCCCATACCATACTCTGGCACCATTTGTATATTCTGGTCGTCTTTGAAAAACTCTGGTTGAATAGTCACTTCTAAAATGCCATTTTCATGGAAAAAGTTAACGACCGCTTTATTTATTCTCAAATAATCCTTGAAACAAAAAAAAGTTGCAATTATTAATTAATTCAATCCAAACGAAATCATCTACACAAATTATGTATAGGTATTAAAAAAAGTAACATATTTTTATCTTACTTGAGGGTTAAGAAACATAATATGTGCAGTAGATATTATTTTATCTTCAGTCAGTTGCCATATATGGAGTTCATGTACGTTTACTATGTCTGGAAATGTTTTCATCAAGTTTTTGCAAATGGCATCAATATTCATATGGTCGGGCATGGTCTGAAGAAGAATCAGGCATGATTCTTTCACTAAAATATAAAAAAGTAAAAATTTAACATTTCATTATAATATAATATTATTATATTTTAATTTTTAGAACAGCTGATGTGAATATCTAAGACTAGAGAATCATGTTTTTATGTGAAAAAAACCACTTACTATTCGGATACTTGAGGTAGAGCAATATTGCAGCCGATATGATTGAAATTCCAGGATCGACAAACTTTGCTATGCTAGGGTCTGTGAATATTACGATGATCGAACATATCATCACCATTGTACAACCTAGACAAATATTTTATTTATTTTATTGTAAATTTACTGCTTTACTTTATTTTTTACAAAAATATTCTACCAACTAAATCTCGACATATTTCTCTTGGACTGCAGTTTTTAATTTGTATTTTTTTTTTCAGCAATTGACCAGGATTTAAAAGAGCATTAGCGCTCTCTTCGTCAGGAACTCTTGTATTTTGCGATACTGGACCTGTGTTGAAAATATTAACCATTTAGTACAACATAAATATTACTTATAAGTTATAGGTACATGATGATTATTTTGTCGCTAAACAGGTATTAAATCATCGAAAAATATAAGATATTTTTAATTTTTAGAACAAATATCTACTTATATTATCACAGACAAATTTAAAATAAGTTATAATAAGTAGTAAATTCTTAAGAGTTATAAAAAAATTAAAAATTCCTTATATTTTTCGAGATAATAAGTTTCACCCTGCAGCATTATTTTATAGGTATAGAGAAAATACCATTGGCGCAACTAAGTATAAAATATTTGATTGGGGGGGGGAGGGTAGTATAAATAAATAATTAAATTGAACAACTAAAACAAATAAATGGAGGCTAAGCCCCTCTAACTAAGAATAGTTGCGTCAATGGTATAGACAATAATACCATACACGTGTGGTTTAGCTTATATATAGTTATTACTAACCTCCTAGTAATAAACAACACAGTCCGTGGATGACTATACCAACAAGGCCGATGATGAACACTGATATCGGTTGATGCATTGGATCTTGATGGTCGATGTGTATGAGAGTTTGAATGGCTTCGACCACCAGTGAGAAACTAAGGGACGCCAAAAACACGCAACCGCCGAGCATTAAAACCACTTCGATCCTTGCCCATCCGAATGTGTTCTTTAACTTCTTCTCGGGATGACGATGCACGCACTGTAGAGTTTGAAAAAATAATGGCGATAAAAATATAACGAATCCCCGATGAATAATGGGCAATATTCACACTGGAAGACGATATTTGACCGGACTTGGATACTGTCAAGTTGGACTCAGGAGAATCGTCCTCCGCTTTGAGGATCTTTTCCACGCAACCTTCGTTTGAACACACCTCTTCATAATCGTTGTGCTGTAATATAACACACAATTCCACTTGTTAATTGTTATGTATTATATAATATTAAATATTAATCAATATTAATCATGAACAGCAAAGCCGTTTGCACAATAAATTCGTATAATGTTTAGTATAATTTATACATAACATATTATAGTCACCTTAATACATAGTACAGATCCAAAAAAGTATATTAGCTTGCAAAGCACGTGGTACGAGTCGACGAGCAAGGTGAGTGAATGCGATATATGACTGAAAACTAGTTGCACTAAGAAGTAACATAACATTAGTAGAATGACCATGTGGACTGCATGAGGATTAAAAATGCGGAGCACTTTTTTGACAGACATTTTAAAACCGCTGAAACAAAACAATGAACTATAAATAAACATTTTTCTGTACTCACAAAAATATTGTATGAAAGTTTTTAAATAGGTTTGAACTATAGTATTTATATATTATTTAAATATATATCTAAATAAACTTCGTTTACTGGGAAAAGATTAAATTGATAAAATATATAGGTAATATACGAGTTTTTTTTAATTACAATATAATTGTGTACGATTATGTTTAGGTAGAATAATATTAAAATTAAAAATAAAGAGAGACTTTCGAAGTTGTGTGGGTACTGTAGGTTACTGGTGGAGGCATATTGTATAAAAAATATTTGATAATTGCATTTAATAGATCAATTCTAGGTAAAGTTTAGTTAACCCATAAAATTCAGAAAAAAGATCAAGCTTTTGTTAGAAACTAGTGCATTATGCTTCAACATCTTCCCCTTTATTTTTTGTACTGTTAATTGCAAATTATCTACCATTTTCTAGTAAGCTACTGGAAAACTCTTAAAATTACCTTTTTAAGTATACAAATCAATTTTCAATCTAATAGTCAATATAGAGATGGCACTGCATAATGAAACGTTGAACCTTATTACTGCTACAAATATTGCTTCCCAGAAGCCCAGTAAAAAAAGTCCAAATCATTTTAGAATCAACAACTCGGTCGCTCCGCTCAGAATCTAAAAATTATTATCATATCTATAAGACTATAAAGATGTAGTTATTTGTGAAATTAATACATTGGTACACTATGAAAGAGCCTAGCGATTTGCAATAATAACGAATTCTTAAAACCATCAAAAATAATAAGATTCGGACATTTTAAACTAGATGAATTTGCATGCGAGGCCAGATACACATTATATATTTTACAGTCGTAATGTTAGTGGAACAACAATACTAATAATAGCTATAAGGACACTAAATATAATGCACTATACACAACAGTATACTACACACAACGACAAGAAGACCGTGGGCTATTAGAAAATCGTCTACGGAAAGTACCTACTTCTTACTAGAAAATGGTTTGATGCGTCGTACAGTATTTACTGATTTTTTTCGCAATTTACTGCAAGACAGGTAGTAGGTAAATAAAAAAAAAAACAGTAAACGTTATATTAATAAATAATACACGACAATATGTATTGATTGGACACATACGGGCAGTTCTTAAGAGTTAAGGGGTTCAATATTATAAATATTCAAAATGTTAGATACTCGAATTTCAGTGCAGGTAGTCAGCTATAATTTGTGAGTGACAATTTCTAAATTACAATGCAACAATTTATCGCCAAAATTGTGTGTCTATAGACTATAATATATAATATATACTATAAATTACATAGAACGACTGGATATGAACATTATGAACATTGATTTGAATTCTCCACTATATTATTTATTATGTTTGAACAGAGATTGACTAAACATTTTCCGGTATCGTACATTCGTACAGAATTCCGCACTAAAAACTTTAATTATCTAAGTGGACATAAATATTGGTATGAGCAATGAGCATAGGTGAAATTTGGGGGGAGGGGGCTTGAATTTTGATTGAAGTATTAAATTCATTCAATAGTTATCTAATCTACATAATTCGGTAAACGTTGTCTGAAGAAATTGTTTTCTACACTTTAAACAACAATTCATTATTCAAATGTTTTCCATAATAGATATCGGATTCACCCACAGAACATAATGTGATTTTACAATTTTGAATATATATATATTATATTATTATAAGTACCTAAATGTTGTATTTTGTTTTAATAAAAATATTTTTAATTTTAGTAATAGGCATGTATTATACATTATAATACTTATATTAAATGTAAGAAAGTGGGTGTGACAAAAAAATGATAATTATATTATGTTATAATATTGTATTACATAAAGTAATATATTGTAAAGGTATTTAAACAGGAGGTGTAGGGAGCAGAGCCCCCCACTTATCTGCTTTATTTAAATATGTAAAGCCCCTCCAAGTCAAAAACTGAAATTGCGCCTATGGGTATGAGCGCAAGTCTGTTAACCGACTTAACTCCGGGAAAAATTTGATTTGGCTTACAGAAGTCTAATCACACCACATGATAATATATGGTCTTGGTTTTGGTTTAGTAAAGAATAAAAAATAGTCAAACATACAGTGTAATAGGTATCCAATCCACTTGCAAAATCTGAACGGTTTTATAATACACATTATAATAGCACATTTTAGTAGCTTGGTAGAAATAGTTGTTATAACACATTTTACAATCAGGGCGTATTTATTTTCAATAATATTTCAATAAATACCTATATGGCATATTGTGGTATAAGCTCACAGCCAGACGTTGAGAGACATGCATCGTAGGTATATGTTTGATAAAAAGCTAACTTTATAACCATTCACTGTTGCACCAGCGTATACAATAATACAATATACAAATACATCAATATTAAATAATTAATAATATATTTTATAGCTGAAACATTTGTTAAATAATGAATTTATCAATAGCTAACGATAACGCTCTGACTTTTGACCTACATGGACGAATACAATAATTATTATAGACAGATTTCATATACAATAATAATAATCCTCTTATTATATTTTAGTCTTGACTTGTTTAAGATACGCATAACATACTCCAAAAACATTCATGAACTAATACTAATTAATATAAAATATTTTCATAAAAAGTTCGTTTAAATTTCGTTTAAATGTTATTGGTTGTTACAGTTTTAATTTTTTTAAGTGTTTTTTATTCAACGTCGATAGTTGATAGTTGATACTTTAACTTAAACAAAAATAGGCACCGACGGACAAGACACGGAGACTTGGTGCAACCCATATTATTATTTAGAAATTGCATGAAAGTTGTGATAAATCATCGTCTTCATAAAACGATTCCGAGTGGAGCCTAGCTTGCTTACCTTTAACAGGTCAAGGTTTTGTTATCACAAATTTCAGGCATGTCGTGAGCCTGTTATAGAAATGCGTTTTTCAAACCGATGGAATAAAACGTAGGTACCATTTATAATATTACAATGCATATTGGCTATTGGTATAGTAATATTTTTAAACGAACTACGATGTATAGACTATAGACTATAGAGTATACCTACCACTGGATAATTATTATAAAAATAAATATCTCCAGGATAATTTTCTGTATGTAATTTGACGATTTACGATGGGTACCTTATGTAGAATACAGCAATGATAATACAAGTAATACAACCACAAAAATGGTTTTCTGAAACCAACCAGCACTCATGCCACAATAAATGATCTCTGATCAGAAAACACAATGTTTGGGTACCTAGTTACATAAAATTTAAAATGTGAGTAAATTTAGAAAATTCACATATTTAAGTGTAGATAAATAGAAAATAAATATTATGTTGTGTGTTTTAATATTACTAATAATAATAATATATTATATTATAAACGATATTGAGGCTTCCCGAGCCAACATCATATTTTTGTCCTCAAACATATGCTCTACACGAATAATGAATACCTAATGATCCCGTTCTGTAAAATCAACTAAATTTGATAATTTTAAACTAATAGATGGTAATATTTTACAGGGTTCAGTGAACTCCGTTTTTCAATATTTTAATCTCTTTATATAAAATATAAAAACTTTATAATACGTTTTAAAAAATAATACAGTTTTTAGCTTTTTTTAATATTATTATTGTGTTTTACACTCACAGTGTGATAAATTAATACAAATTTACATTTTACCTATGTGTGTTTTTTTCAGATTTATTATGACATTATTAATTAGTATAATTGTTTTGTTCAAAATAGTAACAAAAAAAAAAAAAAAATGATTAGGTAAGTAAAACGAAATAGTGAAAAATATTCAACAGTAGTCTGGGCTAACGATGACCTTCAGAGTTCAAACATAATGAATTGGTTTATGACAAGAATACTACGATAATAATATAACATACTATTACAATCGGCATTTTAATATATTGATTTTAAAGAGTAGGTACTCGTGCACATCATATATATGTATTTAGACAACTAATGGATAATTTATAAGCACATTATATTAGTTACTTATCTAATGAAATTATCTTTTTGTTGGTATACTATAATATTATAAATATATATAATATGAAACTATTAAAATTTAAAGTAAAGTAATCATTAGTAATTTAATTTACTATTTAGTATAGTAAAATACTAAAATGTAATTATGTATAACCAAAACCATTTTGTTTTGCTAATTTGCATCAGTTTTCATAAAACCCGTATAGGCGACATAATCATAGGTACCTGTTTATACATTGTACCTAAATACATTATAAATTTATGAATACATGTTTTATGCATTTTAATGTTCGTAATAATTTTTATCATATATTTTACTGCACATAATAATGACTAATCGACATTTGTTTTGAACAATATGCATATTGACTTTCGTTGTAATAAAATATAAATACATACCTACTTATACTATATTCTATTATTATTGTAACTTAGGTACCTGCTTCTACAAATTTGAATTCTTAAAGTTTAATCTGTGGTACGAGATCTGGTGAAATCTTGTTTTAGTTTAATAATTTTAGTTCTTACTTCATATATTATATAATACCGAAAATTAAGTTAATCAAATGTGCACAGGATGTTGAAAGCGTTCTATCGACTAATTCATAACTCAACACCGCAATGATATTGATTGGCTATAATTAATATTTCGTTTAATAACTGTAAGAATTAAAAAATATTAAAAAAAACCGATTTGTTGATTTACGTGACAAAATACGTTATTTCGCTTTCAGCATTTATTTTTTTATCATCTATTTTTTTCTTTCTTAAAAGAAATAACAATTATTGTTCCTAATCATTTTTTATCGACACACATGAACGATTAGCAACTGTATACTAACAGTACTTATATAATTTTATGTTTGTTCTGTATACTGTAGTCTATATATTCCCCTTCTTGATCAGGATTATATATTACATATATTATTTATGTATTATAACTAAT